CTTACATTGCCTCACTAAGCGCGGACATTTTTCTAGCACTTTAGAAATGCGAATGCCTTTGACCTTTACAATTCATGTGATGAATACTGTGTCTTCTCTAGTTGCAGATGAGTAATCTGGGGCTCATTCTAGCTGATTTCTGCTATCGGTGTTAGCTTTTTCACTTTTATGCAGGCAACACTGACTTCTCTTTTAAAATTATTTAATAATTATTTAAATAATATCACTGTGCAATGGGTCCTGAATTAGAAACAAAGGTTTCTGCAGGTCGGGGAATATGCATGAGTTTACATTCTTATATTTCACATTTCTGAAGTATGGAGGCATAAAGGGGCATGGTGTCTACAATTCATTCTCAGTTTTTTCTCAAGAAAGAAATTGCATATGCATATTTACACAGAGATCCACATACGCACACATAGAGGAAACAAATAAAGCAAATGTACTAAAATGTCAGCATTTGGGTCATTTGGGAATTCTTTGCACGCTTTCTGAGAATTTTCTGTAAGTCTAAAATGAAGGAATTAAAGAAAAAAGATCCAAGCTTGACTTTATATGGACAAAATATTTCAAATTGCTTGAAAATTTGGTATATATCTGGTACAACTAAATAATGTCAGCTGTCCTTTCATAGTTTTAAAATTATGTATTTCCTTGATCATGAGTCTAGATTTTTCCATAGACTAAATCATCAAATGGGGTGTCTGTGCCTTCCTTAACTTTCTCCCTAACGCTTCAGAGTAGACTGGGCTTGGATGTATTTGGAGAGCTAATACAACATCAGTCATCTGAGATGTGTTTTGACATTGCTGCACCTCCAAGACCCTCAGAAAGCTCTCAAATATCTGAGTTTTGTCATCTCATGTGTGGAATCTTGCAGTTGCCTGAAAGTTTGATTTATTTATTTACAGATGTGAGGAAAATATAACACACTTTCAAATACTGTGATTCAACTACATGCATTCTAGAAAAGAGGTATCTGTTTGGAGGCTGATAGTCAAGAATCTTAAAATTCAGAGTAAGGAAGTAATCAGAGACTAACTATAATACTGAAATAAAAAGAATAAAAAAAGTATAGGTGGGCCTCCCCGGTGGCGCAGCGGTTAAGCGCTGGGTTGAGAAGCTGCCCGCGGCCTCTGCGGCGTAGGTTCGATCCCCAGCTGCTCCCCGGCCACCGGAGGAGGGTCCCACATGGCGCGCAGACCTCTCCTGCTGCCCACTGCTCCCCTCAGCAGTGTACTTTGGTCCTTCTGCCTGCTCTGCCCCCCGCTCTGGCTCTGGTGAATTCTCTCACCCTCCCGCGCTTCTGACTGTACCCAGTGCTTGTATAAACAAAACAAAACAAACAAACAAACAAATAAATAAATAAATAAAACATGCCTCTATTTAAAAAAAAAAAAAGTATAGGAATTGCCAAAATAAATTTAATGAAGCAATAAGCCAAAAGATGATCCTTAAAAAAAATCAAGAATTAAGTTTCAGTAAACTACAGAGAGTATTAGCAGATCAAAAAGTGGCTAAATTAACTTTTAATTAAAAACAAGTTATAAGGACTGAAAAGTCTGATTCTCACCTCTTGAATTGTTGACCTATACTGAAGACTGTATTTCAGCTATTGGATACTGGCCTCCAATTTTGTTCTTCTCTTCCCTATTTCCTTTTCATTTTAATAACTAGATTTAAAAAACACCTTGAAAGTTAGTAGATGGGTGATTTATTTTTTCAGAATGGAAAATCAGAAAGGAATTAAAATTATATAGTTTGAAGGGAGAGTACTATTGAGAGGAACAAACACAGTTTTCATATTTGATATCTTTTGAAAATTTTTACTTATGTATTTATTTTTACATTTTAAAAGGAAAAGGAGAAAGTAAAAGAGAAGCACCTGCATCCTCACCAGCAGGCAGGAGAGCCGCCCCTTGGGAAACATATAAAGGTGACTTGAGGGCCTCCCTGGTGGCTCAAGGGGTTAAACACAGCACTATGAAGCTATCGGCAGCCTCTGCAGCCCTGAGCCCCAGCTAGGGAGCTACCCACACGGTGCAGCAGACCTCTCCTGTCTTGCGCACTGCTCCCCTCAGCAGTGTATTTCCCCACTCTGGCTCTGGCGAATCCTCTCTCCCCCAGATAACCCCAGTTCTTGTATGCATAAATAAATAAATCTTTAAGAAAAAAAAGGTGACTTGAGGAGTTGCTGAACAGCCCTCCTGGCTAGCGTGGCTGTTGGGCAGGACTTCATACTCTGACTGCTTCTCATTGCCCTCCCGTTTCCTCATTGTGACTATGAAATGAATGCAGTTCCCCAGTGAAATGACTGCCAAAAACCCAATAATGACCAAAACTCAGGGTTGGACGTTTGAGGATACAGACCTACGGATGAAAGCACAGGACACCCTGAAAGTTTTCCATGCCAGGGCTTTTCCCTCAATGTCAATTTTAAGTGGTATCTAGAGCTCTGAAAACACTGTCCACAGACACCTAGTACTGGGAAAGGCAAATCTAGATATTCAGAGTTCAGGATAATTAATAACAAGTCTGTCAAAATTGCATATGAAAAAGTTGGTCACTAAATTTGATCAGGTATGAAAGAGCTAAAGGGTGATGATTAGGGTAAAGCAGGTCCCCCAGGATTATGAATAGTGTACAAAGCTATAAAATATGTTCCTACAAGGTCCTCAGAGTCTGTGTGATTATTTGTAAATAGATTTAGGTTTGGGATGATTTTGTTAAACTAAACTTTTAAACTGAAGTTTAATAAAAATATTACTTTAAAATACAGTCTTGGGCCTTCCTGGTGGTGCAGTGGTTGAGCACAGTGCTGTGAAGCCGTCCGCAGCCTCTGCAGCGCCGGTTCGATCCCAGCCTGCCTGCAAGGGTCCCACATGGCCAGCAGACCTCTCCTGTCTCGCCTGCTGCTCCCCTCAGCAGTGTATATCAGTCAGTCTGCCTGTTCTGTTCCCTGCCTGTCTCTGGTGGATCTTCTCACCCTTCCATGCATCTGGCCTGTACCCCAGCTCTTGTATAAATAAATAAATAAATCTTTAAAAAAATACAGCCTTCCTCCTCCCCTTTTAAATTAGACTGTCATTTTCAAGCTGATGTGGAGAATTTGTTTGGAAAAGGAAAGAAGTGCTTCCCCCCACACACACCACACCCCCCAACCATTTTGGCTCCTTTCCCAGGATTATTTTGATCAAGAGCTCAGCCACATCTACAGTTCACCTCACTTATCCTCGAGGTGACAGTTTCCCTTCAAAATATCCTGCTGGACTGTTTTCTCTCTCTGCTCCCTAGAAATCTGTGGCAAGTCAGTAAGAAAATTTGATAATTCAGAAAGTGATGGTAGTACATATTTTTGAGTGATTACTGGTAGTTTTCATTGGGTCCCCTATCAAGTTTAGAGTCATGGACAATTTTTTACTTTTGTGTCAGTTTCAATTGCTATAATTCTTCTAATATGCTTTTTATTGTGTTCAGCTATTTCCCCCCTTTTGGGAAGAATAGGAGAAACCATCAAGTCAGGACAAAACAACTCAATCTCACTGTTGTCTAAGAGACTAAGAGTGAAGAAAGGAGGTTGTGTCATTTCCAGCCCAAGCTTGAGTCCACTGGGGCTGCCGGGTGATGTTTTCTCACACTTATGAGTGGTACTCTGACATGTGGCTGTAAATTTAGCATTTCAAATTGTAGATCTGCAATCCGGACTCTAAAAATAAAGTTTAGAGAAGACTCCTTTGACCTTCAATATACAATTTTTAGAGCCCTGACATTTTTCCTTGCTCCAAGTGGGAGACTTCTTAATACAGAAGCTGCTTGTGGGGCGGCTTTGACCAAGGTGTAGCTACTGATTGCCTTTACTCTCTATTTCTCTGCTTTTTACAATTTATAGCCTGGTAGAGATCGCTATCAGCAAATGCCCAAATTTTTCAGCTCATCCTGCAACTGAATTTGCAAAGATCTTATCATTGTTAAATTACTTACCAGTTAATTTGTTTTGTTCTCCCCAAAGATTTTTAGATAGCAACTACTTTTCTGGACAAGGATCAAAAATCCTAAAAGTGGTAGACTCACGAGCACCTAAACAGAGATTGAATTAAGTCTGTTGAATGGCCTTTACTTTCCTTGCTGTGAGATTGTGCAACCTGACATGTCATATCCAGTTCTGGTTTTGCTCATTATATATAAAAAGCTTCTCGAGCCCATTTACAGCTTTTTTTTTTTTTTTTATTTTAACAGAAATGCTGGCATGCGACTTACCTCCAGGAATAGCTCAGAGCTGAGGCTCTCAATTTAGCCATGAGAATTACATTTCTCTCCTCTGGAAATATTTCCCCCAACCTTTAATCACGAGCTTATAAGAGCAAGGTGATTTCAGTTAAAAAGAAACAGATCTCTTATACAGGGCATATAGGAAGGGGCATATTTTACATCAATAATGTGTATTCACATTCTATGTCATTATGAATTATATTTATTTGTCAGAACATCTCGTCCCTTGAAAAAGAAGGTTTTGTATGTAAGGTTCAGCTCCCACATATTAACATGCATGCTTGTATACTCCTTAGGTGAAAAAGATTTTCAAATAATGGCAATAACTCCTAAGAATGGTAGAAAAAAATCACGGAATTTTCATCTTGGGAAATACCAACTAGCAGGAGTGAAAAAATATATTGAAAAGAATCCCAGGGCTTCTGAATGGTCTTTTTACTACTGATCATACAACTCTAATCTTTTTCTCAGCCAACTTGAAAATAAAAATATTGTCTATATCCTTTTCAGAGAATAGATCGGATTAATGTACCTGTTGAAATGAACAAAATGGGAGTAGAAACAAGAGCTCTGAATGCTATTTTGTTGTCAGATAAAACAAGTCATGTATTTTCAAAAGCCTACTTTCCCAACCTTGGGTTACCAATTAAGACACTTCACTCCTAAAGCGCCAATTTAGTCCGACCCCCCTTTACCAGACCTTCTCCCCTCCGGGCGTGGCGTTTACTCACCGAAGCGCAGTTTTCAGACTTGTCTTCCACAAAACCAATCCGGCAGGGCGTCCTCTGATTCTGCATCCAGTAGTCTGTGGACTCCAGCAGGCTGTTGCTGCGAAGCACCTAAGGGAACCGATAGAGCGAGCTCCTCAGTGCTGATCTGAGAGGTTTTCTATTTAAACGAGCAGCTCTTTCTGAAGAAGCCTGTAGGTGTTTTCTAGTCCTCAGAACATCTGAATATTAGGGGTGTGGGGAAACCTGCAGCCTCCTAGCCCCTCTAGAACGTGTACTATATCCAACCAGGGTTTTGCTTTAGAGAAATATGTTGATGTTATAATACAGATGTTTCGTCTCTCATCAAATGCAACTTCTGGAAATATCAGTGTACCTGCAACTGTTGTGTAATTTGCATTGAAATGATGGTTTTGGGGTCGAATTCACATGGCAAAGGAGAATCAACTTCATCTTGGTGTTAATGTACTTTCACACTGTATTTCTGATTTTAAAAATGTCGTGCTTTATTGCTACAGAAATTATGATTCCTCAGTTCTTTGCTTTGCTAAAATATCTGTGAAACAGGCTGATCTTCTAGAACACCTAGGGTACCATGTTAAATTTAAAAAATGTACATTACAAAAACTATATTTTTATGTAGAAACAGTACAGCAAAGCATGATGAATTTGAATACATGAATTAACAAAACCAAATGGGATTTTCAAATGTCTTGTTTCTGGACTTGGATTTTAAAACCATGAAAGAAAAAATCCTATTTCTGAGCCAAAACATTCTGAAGAAGAAATTTCATAAATAACCAAATGATTCAAATTCTAATGTGTCTTAGCACTGTCTAAATATTGTATAAAATCCTTATGATCCTATATAAGATTTCTATTGCTCTTCTGGCTCCCTCTACTTTATTAGGGCGCATGTCTGCTAATATTTGACAACTACCTTCACTTAAGCAAGATAACATATTTAATCAGCTTGGTTAATGCCACAAGAATAGAATGACACTTTAATTACATTTCACTTACAAAATGTAAAAATGCATTAATTTTTGTCTCTGAATATTGAGTTAACCAAATATAATTCAGACACATTTTTTTCCCTACAACATTTTGCTTTAGTTGAGTAATATTGCTTCTAAGTCTTTTCCTGTTCAGTATTCACTATTACCAAGAAATGACAAATTTTCATTAATGCTTTCCAGAACAGTAGAGACACTTTATGGATAAGCAAGAGATGAACTTGGATTATTAGTGCAAACAAATGTTGGTGATGGAACGTCTCACTTCATTTAAAGAATTTATCTAAATAGGGCTTCTTAAAATTTGAGGTTGAAGAAAGACCTAGGAGTCTGTAAAATCTTCCAGGGGGTCTAGCGGTCAAACTATTTCTCTAATCATTTCAACACATCAATGCGCCTTTCATTTTCCTGGTGTCCTGGGTCCTCAGTGGCTGTCTCCTCCTGGACATAGCTGTGATGGTGTGATAGGCTGACACAGCCTGAATGTAGAAGGAAGAAGAGGACCCAGCTGTCTTCTTTGAAATGATTTAATAAGGAGATTTGTGAACAATGAAAAATGAAATCTCTCTTTTCACTAAGAAGTTTGTTTTGGAAAATTGCTACTAACATAATGCTTATTATTTACCATTATTTATTTTGTTACTATTGTTTATTATTACTAAAATTATTTTAATAATACATTTTAATCATTAATACAAGTTAAAAATTGACAGTTTTATTAGCTTTATTTTCTTTTGGTATTTGAAAAAACTCTACTGATTTAATACTGGTTTAGAACATCCTATCAGTTTTAGGTGCAGAGAATTATAAATCAGTATCTGTGTATGCTTCATTATGTACAGCACTGGAAGTCTAGTTTTCTTTTTTTTTTACTTTTTAATTTAATCCTCATTGAGAAACCGTAAGATAGGAATTATTTTAAATGAAGATCAGTATTATCACAGAAATTGTCACTTGGAAGTTGAAGACCCAGAAGTCTAGAGAGATTCCTGTTTCTGCTCCCGGATGCTCAAAGCCTGATTTTGGATTTGACTTTGAAGACATCAAGGTCTGTGGATGATACTGGGGATCAAGCACACATGGCTCTACTTTGGGGTGTGTGTCTAAAAGATGATGTGCAGCAAATTTTGTAAACATAGCTATATTTCTTGGGGATATCCATTTAAAATTGGTTTTTCATTAGTGAAATTTCAAGGTGACATTTTCTTTTTTTTTTTTTTTTTAAGATTTATTTATTTATGCATACAATCACTGGGGTACAGGCCAGAGGTGTGGGGTGAGAGGATTCACCAGAGACAGAGTGGGAAACAGAACAGGCATACTGACTGAAATACACTGCTGACAGGAGCAGCGGGCGAGACAGGAGAGGCTGCTGCAACATGTGGGTTCTTCCTGGGCGCCCGGGGATCGAACTCATGCGTAGAGGCTGCGGATTGATTCATAGTGTGTGCTTAATCCCTTGTGCCACCGGGGAGCCAGCATTTTATTTTTTCTTTTAAATATTTATTTTATTTATGCATACAAGAGCTGGGATGTAGGCCAGAGGTGCAGGGGTGGGGGTGAGAGGATTCACCAGAAATAGAGTGGGGAGCAGATCAGGTAGATCCAAATACACTGCTGAGGGGAGCAGCGGGAGAGACAGAGAGGTCTGCTGTACCATGTGGGTCAGCTCTCTGGCCTGGGATCAGACCTCATGCCACAATGGCTGGTGATAGCTTGATAGCACTGACTTACCCCCTGTGTCACCAGGGATTTTCTTTTAGAAGAAGAAACTTTGTGATGTAAGTTATAATAATGGATGGATGAACTTGGCAGGTGTTACCAGCATTTCAACATGTCAGAGTGATACATGTTTTAACATTTATTTGAGTCAGCTTTACTTTACTCCCAACTTTATCCACTATGCTTCTGCTTCTTGCCTTCCTTTGATCTTTAGAATTTGGACCCCCCCATCTTTAAAGCAAAATCCTTGTTCATTCCACATGGTCAGAACATCAGAGATTTAAAATGGAGGCATTGAGTGAACATACCAGTTAATGATACTTGACCAAACAGTCTAATAAATCCTTGTAGTAGAAACACTTCTTGACCATTTCAAAGCTCACTCATCAAACATTAGACTTGTACTTCCTCTAATCTCTACAATATTCCAGACACATAGTATTAGCGTTACAACAAAACATGTCAGCAGAAGAAAGCAACTGTCCTTTAAACCAGAGCACATGCATTATTGCTTGTCCTAGGTCATCCTTAGGAGAGAGATGGTTCACACATGACTTAGCTAGATCTTTTAGAAAAGCAGTGGGCTTGGCTGGTATATCTCCCTGGTAAAGACAGAGGGGGAAGACATGGAGGTGCCAAAAGTCTTTGGCCTGATGCTCATACTCATGAGCTTCTCCAGGTTGTGCAAGAGGCTGTCTGAGAATGAGCTGATTGAGGTAACTGGCTGTCCTTTGGATTTCCACAACATTTAACTGCTTTTATATGGGGAAGTAAGCAGAGAAGGGTTAACCTGGCAAGTCTTCTATTTTAAGGATATTTTTGCACCTATTTCTAAAATAAATAATAACAAAAATATACAGAGACCTTGACCTGTCCTGGCTTAGGAATGAGGAAAACATCAACAGCTTTATGGACTTGTTTTCTCAATAGAAAAGGCTAGAAAGATTTTTCCACTTGGCTATCCAAGTACATACACAATGTTTCCTCAATTGTGAATTTTTCTTTTTTGCTTTAAAGTAAACAGAAATGGCAGAGTAAAGAAGCAGAATTTAAAATGTCTTCAATGTTTTAGAAGAAATGCTTTGAAGAGAGCTTCTTTGGTGCAAGAATTCCTTTGTTATATGATCTTAAAAGTTAACTCTTATTCATCAGAACTTAAACATTTATCCGATTGTTCCAATAGTTGAAATAAATGTTCCTCCTATTCAATTAATATTTAGAATATATTGCTTACTATCACTTAAATCCTTTCATCATTTTCCAAATAATATTGCTTTTATTGAGAATTCTCTGGGCTAAGGCCCAAGACATCCTATCTGAATTAAATCTCTAGCTTTATGAGGTTGAATTTTAGGGCTAATATGAAATGTGTTTAAAACAGTGGTTGGTACATGGAAAGACTCAATAAACACTAGCTGGCATAAAAATTACGATTCTCTTTGCCCAGGCTTAGAGGGGTCAATAGAGGGGTCACTTTGCCTCGACAGTGGAGAATTGGGACCCCAAGGGGCTCTTGGACCCCAGAGCATCCTTAGACGGAACTTCATTGCAAGGTGGTAGAATTAGGAGATTCACACAATTTCTCATCCTTGGGTTCTACCAAACGCACATCTCTGCCTTTATCCATCTCCCTTGAGGTCTTGACCTATGTGGTCGGGAGGCGTGAACTGCAGTTCTTACTCTCCTGTGTGCATGAGCAAGTCACCCAGCCGCTCCCAGCCTGAGTTTGCCCTTTGGACACTTCAGTCAAGTGGTCAGAAGGCCCCTTCCAGCACTCTCCCCTTCCATTTCTTTCCACTCCTCCGGCCCCCTCCCTTCCCCAAGTATTGAATACATTACAAGCCAAATGAGCAAGGACCATCAGTGCTCAAGCTTCAATAAACTACTTAGCATCATAAGTTCTGCAGTTTTAACCTGGGGAAAGCTTTTGGTAGAATGGTTTAGACAAACCATTAAAAAATAAAGAATGCTGAAAGGAAGAATATGTGCTTGATCATTTAATGATTTTGAAGCTTTATGACTATGACCTCCCTGTGGAGAGAGTCATTTTCTGTGGGAGAAAAGAGAAAAGCTCACCAGGCTCTCCATGGCTCATTTATTCATCTGTTATGTTGCGTGGCAAGTTCACTCATTGCAGATGAAGAGCTAATAATGAATGTACTGTGTGTTCTCAAGTTTGAAACAATAATGGCACATTTTCTTTAAAAATTTCATGAGTGTACTAAATAATAAAGAAGAGACTTTTGCTCTATCTTATAGCTACTTTCCTCTTTATATGGAGAACAAGTTTTAGGAACTTGGTATTAATACGGAATAGGTAGGGGAAAAGTAGCCACAGTCCTGGACAGTGTTGGGCAACGTCTCAAATTTTTT